GAAACAGACTTAAGAATTTTAAAAATAACCAATTTGATGTCCATGGCCAGGGATAGAAGAGCTTGAAATTTGATTCTGAAGAAGGCAAGAGCCCATCCTGGGCTGTCTGGTCATTGAAGAAGAAGCATATCTACTTTCTGAATGAATTGATACATACATATATCATAGTATAGACGCAAACATATAACAGTGGACAAATTAATAAGTTTTGGAACTTTTCAAATTTTGAATTATAAAATGTTCTTCACTAATTGCTTTAATAAAAATTCGTATTTCATTTGTCGCACAGTTGGAATTTATTCTGTCATAAAAATTATTTATAAAAGGAAGGTTTTTCTAAACAAAGGTGTGAGACCCTCATAAGTTTAGCTTTCTTATTTTGCATATAATTTTATTTTCATTTGTCAAATTAAAGAAAAGGTTATCTGCCTAAGCAAAGGTGGCTTTCGTGGAAAATGTTTGAAGGAAATTGTCTCATATACCCTTTATGTATATGAGAGAACATGAAACGTTCATGCAGTCACTTCATTCATCAAAATTTTAATCCGGGTTGAGTTATCAGTGTTAAAGAAATTTTATCCACTCGGTCGCTAGTTATCATTTAGAACATAAAAACTAAAATTTCACTCAAGTAAACTGTAGTCGGGGGATGTATGTCATTTAAAAGTGACATTCAAATTTATTTTCTTCACCAGAAACGTTTATATTCATTATACTGCTTTTACATGCGCATTAAAAACTGGAATAAAGTGAAACGACAATTATGAAAAGAATGGAAAGAAAGAAAATTTCCTTTATGTTTAGCCGTTATTTAAAACTGAATAAAAAAAAATCATAAATATCACGTGAAGAAACTAATAATGGTTTTTGCAACAGAAAAAAAGTGAAGGAAGGTCTTAAAATGCAAATGTGCAAGAATCAAAGTAACAAATTATTCTTTTTATTTTCTCCCCTCAACAAACTATTTCCTGGAAGATACCAAATTTGTAAACAAGATATGTGGTTTCAAAATAGGGGTGCAATTTCCCCCTATCCATTAGCGGAATCCCACAAGCAAACGCACCCTCTGAGGTGTCGTAAAATAGTCTTCAATCCTCAAGCGTTAGAATTCCTACCCCTGCAACCAGCAAGAAACTGTCCCGAGCCCCCAGTTGCTGTACATTTAACTTGGTACGTATATGTCCCAGCCCCGGGAAAAGGTTAAGCCTAAATAAACTTTTTTTATGTCAATTATTTTTAATTGATACATTATTTTTAGTATAAAGGCATTTTACATTATATTTAAAAAAATTTCAAGTCTCAAAAAGTAGCAGGAGAAAATGATGAATGTGGAAACAATTTCACAAAATCGCAAATACTAAAAGTTTAATAGCACAAAGTTGCCAAAGGTTTCGCAAAATTGCAAATACTAAAAGTTTAATAGCACAAAGTTGCCAAAGGTCGCAAATTTGCGAAAAATCACATGATCTGGTAACACTGATCACCGGTTCAGAATTGCTGCTCTAAAGTACATTTCATTTTCCATCAGAGAAGTCATCTTTGAATACATGGCTGGTTAACAGTTGATAGCTTTATGATTTTCAGGAGCATCGTACTCTTGAAAATGAGTCATATATATATATATATAATGTTAAAAAAGCTTTGACTTTTTCAAATCATCTCTGTTTTTTAGATGTTTGGTTGTTCATTATTTTACATATTAAGGTGGCTCTCATTTTTGTTCAAAACGAGTCTTTTTCCGATATGTCTTTGAATATTTCTTTTTATTTTGCTCATTTTTTAAATTCAATTATCTTCACTGAGAAATATTTTCTAACTTATTTCAGGCCTTTTTGATACTAAGATTTAGATCTATATCTGTATGTAACTGCACTATTGTATATAATCTGTAAGCTTCTTATTGAATGAGTGAATCATCACATAAACAATAAAAGGCTGATCCCTTTGATCAGGTGACAAATTATCGTGCTCAATTTAATAAGCCTTTGTAGAATTTTTTATCCATTTCCTTCTTTGCTTATAAACTTAGCATAACTAGGTTCTAATATGCAGACATGTTTTAATTCCAGTTTCATACTCCATGTGGTCTCATGCCTCCTTCAGACAATTTGCCAGCTTTCTGCAGTTTATCCATTGCACCTTTGGCTACAATGGTGCAGAAAAATTGTAGAATCATTAAGTTTTTATGAAGCAGAAAACTTGAAAAATGAGCAATGCCCTCGCCGGGACTCAAACCTCAGAACTCTCGAATACATCCTGAGCGTGCTGACCATTACACCATGAAGGCATGATAAGGCGGCACGAGAAATTCCTTATATACTTCCCCCATTTTAAAAGGCATGGCGGAATTTGGCGGGGGATTAGGGGACCCATTCTCCAAATCCTGGTGGGGGAGAATTATCATCCACCACCTTTGTTTTAGTTCGGGCACCACTGTAGGATTTTTCGATGTCAGAAACTGAAGAAATGAGCGATGCTTTTGCCGGGACTCAGACCTCTCAAATACGTGCCAAGTTTGCTGATCATTACACCATGAAGGCATGCTAGAAATGCAGGAGAAATTCTTTGTGAAATAAATATCAGCATTCTAGTATTTCAGTATTTCCAGCCATTTGTATAGTTATATGCATATCTTGCTCACTGGTACTGTTTTGCTCATTTACATAATACACTGTTAGTATTTGAATGAATCCTGCAGTACACAGAATTATATGCACATTTTTGTTGTCAAAACTCACCTCCACTGAGAAGTTCCTTGATTGAATGCCACAAGTATATTAGTATGTGCATTACCATAGTCTTAATCTCTGATCCATTGGTAAAACAGCCATATCAAAATTCTTCATAAGTCTAAACACAACTAAGTATCACATCAGAAAATTCTTGTTGTCACATTAAACGTTTGCTGTGTCACATTAAACGTGTATGTGATATCCGTATGACATTCACATCCACATCACAATGAGACATTTCTGTGATATTGTACTGTGGTCACAAATGTAATGTGAAAAAAATGCAACAATGAGAGGTCATTGCAACATCTGAGCAACTAAGTGTGTTGTATGGGTTGTGATGGTGTCTAGGATATGTTTAATTTGGTAATGAGAAAATCTTTTACGTGGGTCTATTGATTGAGTGGGAAAAAAAATGAGATTTTTCAGCTTACTATTGAATTTTTTCTTATATTCATTTCAAGTGAAATATCAAATTTTTTGTCTGAACAAACTCATTGAAGTACATGTTATATTTAAGAAATGAAATTTTTATAGCAACCTGATGACATCACTTAAGTTGATGTTGGAATCAATAGTATCTGATGGGAGTGATAGGAAAATAAGATTGTTGGGATGAAATTTAGTGTCTGATGCAAGAAAACATGTTCTGAAAATTACTTTTGTGTCTATGCTTATGCCTCCATTCATTGCAGCTGCAAAGGATTGAAATCTGTCAATATGCAGTGAAAGAAATTCCTCAGAAAGCATGACCTAGGAAAAAGACACAAATTTTACCTGCATTATTCCCAGAAGTTATGGAGGAGTTACAACAGAATTGAAGAACACTTGATGTAGATATTATGAAAGCAAGTTCAGAAGCATTTGTAGTATCTCTCATTGTGTATTATTATCTTTGATTTTCTTCTTCACATTATTCAGCTAACTAAAATGCTACCTAATGACCTGGCTTTATTTAATTTATGATGAATTAGTGCAGCTTACAAGCTAAAGTATGGACCTACTCAAACTATTTAAAGCGGTGAAAAACTTTTTGTGGAGTTTATTTATTTATGTTGATGATGGCATTAATAAAGCCAGGGAAAGATTATGCTGATGCATTTACTGGCTTGTTAACTTAAATTATCTAATGCTAAGACTTTTTATTCAGAAGTTAAAAAGCCTAACAGTCTGTGAAAAATTTTTAATGAGTGTTCAAATTGATTCATGAAACATCTTGTGAGGAGGATAGGGGAGTAGAAAGGTTTGGTTTGGTTTGTTGGCAAAGCTTGTGAGAGCTATTTGGTTAAGTATGACTTGAGAATAATGATTTTCTAAGGAAAAGGCTCCTATCCGTATTACACATAGGGAAAATTATGAAAACTCTCATGCAGTGGCATTCACTAGTATTTGAATCAGGGTTGAACTATAAGTACTCTGTGACTTTACCTCTTGGCTGCTGACTTATCTGGAGTAGAAGAGAAGATCTGCATTGTTTGAATGAAAGTCTATAATGAGGTCACATAAGGTAAATAAATTTTAATAAGGTTATCGAAAACCAATCATGTACCAAGGAAATAATCTTTTTTGGCAACACGGTTACTTTTAGGTATTTGGCTAAAAGCTTTATGAGAGGAAATTTGTGCACAACTTCTTTCATAAGGATCCAATGAAATATCTTACTTTTGATTCACATTTCTAGTGGCTACAAGCTATCCAGCTGTTATTTGTTACTGTGAGTTTTGTGACAAGTGTACTGCAGCAGGTATTTTCCATATGTAAGCTTCTTGTTTTTGGGTCAGGTTCCTCCCATCCACATTAATTTTCAGTTTTTTGGTAATGAATTCCGATAATGCCTGAAGACAAATAGTACATACATTCGCTTTAACATGTTATCCAAAAAGCTGGATTGAATGTGCTCAAACTTAATGCAATAGTAAATTTATACTGGTTAACACTTATATATAGATAGTTAATTATGAAGTTTCATGCTTACTGATAACATACAGTTTCACATTGTGTTTCCACCAGAATTATTTTTAGAAAGAAAATTAGAACATTTAAATTTTTTGTGGTGATAATCAAATTAAATAAATGAGTGAAAAATGTTTAAGAAAGCTTTAAAGCTTATGTTAAGAAAGGTAATAGCTCATTGTATATATAAATTTTCAAAAAATCATTAACTTCGAGTGCATTGTCATAAAAAATTTACTTTTTTTAGTTTTCAAAAAAATCTCTTCACTGTCGTAATTAGTACTGACTTTTACTAACATATGACACTTTTTCCAGTGTGATCCAAATCTTCATGTGTTTGCTGTCTGGATTAATCAGCCAGATCCAAAACTGCCACGACTTGCATTTTTTGCTAAGAGGAAAATTCTTCGTGGGGAAGAACTGACATTTGACTACAAAATGCTTAAGAATTGTGGTATAGTATTTTTTACTTTGCATTTTATTATTGTAAAAAAAAAAGAGGAATTAGGTGTAAATAATTTTGTAATAGATTTCTAGTAATTTAAAGCTGTTACGTAGTTTGTAATTATTTGTTAATTCATAAATATTGGTGCAGCTGCTTCTATGAAATATTTAGAAGAGGTGAAAATCACACTGATTTCTATAAATTAACATTCAAACATTTCTGACCCAAATGCATTTTGTTCTGTACATATCTTAATACTTTAAAATAAATTTTCCTTTAACTTCATGACTTTTAGGATTTTATCACCTAAACTTGTTTTAAAACTTAACCATATTTGCCCATTGACTCACTTTTGACATACCTATAAAAAGCACTTTTCTGTTCTAATAGTATCAATTAGTACTTCTTCATAATTTAGGTGTAGAAATTAAATGGTGAATAAAAATAAAATGATTTTGATGGCTTTGGGGTAGATGAAATTGTTATGAATATGCATGATATATATTTATTAGCACAAAAAACTTGCTGAGAGGACTTTAGTTGGATTCAGTGGAATTTTATCCTTCAAATATAGTGGTGTGTTACCTGTGAATATTTTACCTAAAAATTGAATGTAAATATGTTGAAAATGGTCACAAAATTTCAAACACAAATGTGGATGAAGTTGTTATAAGCTGTTGATAATATCTCACTGGAGTATTTATTTTCTTCTAAAGATAAATAAAAGGAAACATCGAAAAATTTAGATCCTGTAACCTGTTGCATCTTTCATTATTTCATTTATGAGTATTAATATTCAGTTATTTGAATGGTCTTTCTAGCAAGGTTTGTACAGTCCTTAAAAGTCCTTAACTTTTTTTGAATCAATTTTTGTCCTTAAAAGTCCTTAATTTCAGCCCAAAATCAGCAGAAAGTCCTTAATTTTAATCATCTGAAATTTCTGTCTGTTTTTACAACTGCCATTTTGAGTGTGAATTAGCATTTTGGAGGAATATTTTTCACAATTCGCTGACAAATATCGTTATCTTTTGAATGGGTGAATGCATTCATGGGTTATAATTTGTTCCTATTTCTAATATAAATGGTTGGATTGAGTTTCTGAGCAAGAAGTGCAACACAAGCATTTCGAAATTATTTCATTTTTTCTAGTAAAGAGCTCTTAAACAACTTTTCACTTTTGGGGATGTGAATTCTTTTATTAAATTGCTCTAAATTTGGTGACTTATCAACATTTTGGCGATTTTTTAAGATTAGTTTCTATAGAAAATTTTTAATTCCGAGATCTGGGAATTTTTCGATGATTTTTTTAAAACATTGTAACATTGATAAATTCCATTAAAGTAATGGTAATATATTGTAATTAAATTTAAGAAATAACATTAAAATAAAGCATTTTTATTTTTTGCTGTTGTATTATAAAGTTCCATTTTGGCCACTTATTATACAATATTTTGAATCTGAAAAATAAGCAAGGTATAACACTATAAAGCACAGTTTACAAAACAGTTCTTAGCAAAAGGAAAATAGCTATGTAATTAATTGAAAATGTCTTTTTAATTTTTTCATGGTAAGAGTTTTCTCATGTCTCAGAATATTCAGAATTCTCAGAATATGCATCAGTTTTCTCTATAAAATTAATTTTACACTTCCCCCCTCCCTTTTTTCCCCCAAAATATTTCTGGCTTTTTGCTGTGACAGAAATGGTAAGGATAATTTTTCTTTAGGATTTTAGATATTGCAGCTTGGAAAGTTTAGAAGGATTTGAAGGCAAGATTTATAGACCCATGATTCTAGAAGATTCGAGAAATATGTGACGAAATGAAAAATATCTCCATGGTGTTAATCCATACATAATTCCTTCCTTTTTAGAGAACATCTGAAAGAACAATAAAAACGTAATAGTTGAATGTTTTACTTCTGATACTAGAATATTTTTCTTAACAGTTTTATCTTCACTTTATTTTCTCTACTTTTCACTAGACACAGGCATAAAATATCAAAAATGCTAATCTTATCATATGGACAGACAGTATAGAAGAGAATTTTCTTATTAATAAAGAAATTGAAAACTGACTATTTAAACGATTCATCTACTATGTCTTAATGCATCATACACAAGGATGGTGCTATGCATTTTCCCATCTGATACAATCTCTGTGGATCCTAAATTCTGCTGCCTGGTGCCTTTATAAATTCTAAAATTTAGACATTTCTAGATTTTGTTGCTTGATATGTAACTAAATTCTAAAAATTCTGTCACACCAGCTCTAACTGAACCTTACCATATATATTTCATATTTCTTCAGAATGTTCATATTACTAAAGAAATAAAATTAGCAGCTTTCTCTATACATTCTAAATGCATTAAGTGTTTTTAGAAAAACAAAAATCTTTCATTAAATCCAAAAATTCTAAAGTGGAAAGGAAGCGTGAAAGAAAGAAGTGAATACATTAAGAGAAAGGGAAATTATACTTTAAACATATGTACAGATATTATGTAAATTACCCAGTTGGTTAAAATTTCAACCTTTACTATAATTTCCCATTTCTATTTTCTCACCAGAATGCAAATTACTTAGACAGTTTTTAAACTAAGGTTTTTGGAGTGTAAGACAATAGTGTATTTATGACCTTCACTCGCTCCCTTCATTAGTTCCTGCCAGCTGTGATAATTTCTAATTGTTCGTCTTTACATTACTGCTGCTGACATTTGAATTTGTTATGATGATAAAGTTACTGAGTCAGCTTAAAATGAAATTAAATTGTATAGTCTTTGTTCACTAGTCCATATTTTTAGTTTGAATTTGATTCTTGTTTAATTACATCGTCACAAGTTGTAATTGATTTATTTAGCATAAGAACATGCCTGTATGTTCTGAGTTCTTTTTAAATAAGAAGCTTATTTAAATCTTTGTACACATAGCGATAATTTACTTCACCTCTGTATGGAGGGTTTTGGTCTATTTAACTTTTACCAGATCAAGTAAACCCTCATAGGTACATTTTGGAAAGGTTGACAGGTTAGGAATTACAACACGTAGAAACTAGTGAGAACATTGTCTTGCATATTGAGTCAAAGTTCTAACTGTTTAGAAAAGATGCTTAAAGAGAAGGAAATGGATATAAATTAGCCAAAATATCTGGGAAGGCTTCAAATTAAAAAGATGCATAAATATTTTATGAATGTTGTTGCTACAAAACATAAATATTTTGTGCTTTAATTATACTGATCCTAATTTGTTAAGAATCAATGCCATAATACATGTATTAAACTGGAAATTTATTCGTTGTTATTTATAGGCTTTTTAACAAATATTGTAAAAATAAATAAATTTAATAGTGCTCATGTAAATCATAATGATGTTATCTATACTAATTAATTACTTATAACAACTGGTTACCTTGAAAATATTCCACATTTTAAAGCGAGTCATTCCTTACATAACCCTTATTGTGGGTCACACGTTAAAACACAAAAATGTAAAAATTCGGTAAACCTATTCTGCATTAGTGAACTTAAAATAATGCAAAACAACTGTCACCTCTGGTGATTAGGCTTTTAGGACCTTAACTTATTAACTGAATTAACTTGGAACCTGCAGAACTTGCACTAACTGCGTCAGACAGAGCCAGCGACTTTAAAACTGTGAACGTGTAATCAGGTTTCATGTTTGTCTGATCAGCAGGGCTTCTTAGGCAACAGGAAGGCGATACAGCCACTTTTGTTTTGATCATGCTAATTGGATTTAATTCACTTATGCGCTTGCCATAAACTCTATATTTATAAACCCCTAACTGAGTACGTACGTGACAAAATGAGACAAAAAAAAAAAAATCAACTAAAGCTAACTGTTAGAACCTAAATAAAATGTCACTTTCTCTTTCAATATGTCCAATTATTGTGAGTATAAATATTTATGTACTTGATAAATTCATAAGTTTATTTTTCTCAACTTGTTATAATTATGTTATTAGTTTAATAATAATGCATCCTATTATGGATCTATTTATTTTAGGATGGATACAAAAGTGAGTTCGCAGAGAAATATTTTTAATTGATTTATTCAGTTCCCATTTGCTTAAAGGTCCTTAATTTTTTCATTAATGGTCCTTAAAAGTACTTAATTTCCATGTGCGGAAATGTGTACAAATCCTGTGTAAGTTTCAGAGACAAATTGGTCAAATGCAGAAAGTAGATACATTTTTGGTAACAAGTAAGCAGATTTAGATTCATAGGCATCAGGCATTTATTACATAAGACATGTGGACGTGTGTTTAGGTTAAATAATGAGTCGTCTTCAAGCTTATGGGAAGAATAAAATGTTGAAGTTTATTTGGGTTACTATTCATTTAAAAAAGCTCGAAATTCTGTCAGTGACTATCTATACTGATGACAGAAAACTCGGCAGAGTAATCACATCAATGGTAAATTTACTGCCATTAGAGAATGCTATTTGTTTATGGCAAAGCACACGAGGCTTATGTGCCTAAGGGAAGGTATGTCTTTATGGAGGACTTGCTAAGGACACTGGCTCGTATTCACTTTATACATGGGGAAAATCAACCATGCAGCCAGCCCATTGGTTTGGATTCGCCCAAACCCAGGTCAAACAACTAGTATTCAGCAGCCTTAACAACTCAACCACTCAGGGTTCGTAGTGGTGCTTATAAGTGCTTATAAGTCCTTATATTTGAAAATAAAATATAAAGGCCCTTATAGGTGGTACTTTTTCTTTAAAGCCCTTTTTTTTGTTTTTATGCTTTTTTTAATGAACGCGCTTTTCCCTCTACCAAAGCCGAAATAAATAAACAACTCTTCTTATGGAATGTCAGATGGTGAAATCATATTCCCAGAAAAGCTTTTCCCCCTTCTCGCATTACATAACCTTGGTGCAGAGAGTACAGACAGGTGCATCTTTATGGTCAAAGAAGAGTTGGGAAAGCAGTAGAATTTTAATCGGCATTCTTTTCCTCCACCCATACTACACAGTTTGAATTTCTATCAAGAT